ATTCTTGACATTCTAAAATTTTTTGTTTCGTGCAAAAATGTATTGAGTATATAAATTTTCTGCTTGTATATTAGGTAAAACATTGTTAACATTTTAGGAACAAATTAAATAAATGTGCAGAATCCAAACGTTCAGTGAGTTTTAACAATGCAATACATCTGCATGTGTAAGTCATAGTGTTGATCACTACACAAAGCCATCATGCGTCTTTGCAGGCACCTCCATCCTTTGCAGAAGCGGCAATTTCCCGATGTGTTACAAGAGATTAATATTGCCTGGTTTTGTACTTCATGTATATGGAATCATCAAATAGTTACTTTTGTACCTGATGTTTTTTATTTAACACATTCAATCAGGCTGTTTTATGATTTTTTTGTTATTCAATCTGATACCTCCACATTATTTCATTTTTCAGTTAATTTATTGACTATTTGTATATTTAATTTGTTGAAACATTTGTTGTGATATTTTTATTATAGGAAACTTTATAACATTTGAGTGCTATGTTCCTATATTGCTTATTTGTATAAATTCTTCATATTTTGCTTTTTAAAAGTAATTTACTAGATATGGGAATCACAAATATATTATTTCAGGCTGTGGCTTTAATATTTATCACAATGGTATCTTTCAATGAGCAACATATTTTAATGAAATCTAATTTTTTATGTTTTTCTTTTGTGATTAGTAAATTTCCTAAGTTTTGAAATTTAATGCTTACTTTGTTACAGTTAATATTTATATAGGTATCAGGTGGCAGGGTATTTCTTTTTATAGAAAATTCCTTTAATTATATTATTTTAATTTTTCTAAATTAGCTTATTTTTGTGGAAATTTATTAGTGTAGATTTTCATATTAAGTTGAATTGCTAATTAAATTATTTTTAAATCTTCTATATATTAGTATTTTAATTCCTCAATTTCTGACAGATATATGTTAAAATTTGTCTTATTTATCAAGCTTTATTAAGTGAGTTTTGTTAGAGGGAAACAAATACTTAATTTTTGTTTTCCTGATCAGTGAATGTTGCATCATGGGAGCAGTTTTAGTCTGAAATTTATTCTTTTTGACCTCTCTATGTATATATCTACCTAGCTAGAAAGTTTTAACAAAATTTTATAAGGTATATGTTTTGTTACTACTTTTAATTTCAACATTCTTGTGTTACTTTTAAAACCTATCCTCCATATATCGGAAATTTTGAAATATTACTTGGTAATTTTTGACTTGAGGTAAAAGTAAAAAAAAAATGTATATTATTCTTTTGCTAATTTTAAAGCTATACATAATATTTTAAGTTTTTTCAGCAATTGCCTTCTTGTCTTTAATTGCTAAGCTATGTTTCAGTAAAGTTGAAGTATTTTTAATATCTCCGTTTTCCTTTTATATTAGACAAGATTTTAATATATGTTTGCCTTATTTTATGCTTCTATTATCTAGTAGCATTTTTAATGTTCATTTAATATGCCTTTACAGTTTTACCAAGTTATTTGCCCTTTTTCATGCTTCTATTTTCCTTAGATTCGCCCCTTTTTTTTGTTGTTAAAATATTTGTTGTCATCTCCATCACTATAATCTCTTACTCTGTAGGTAGAAAAATGCAGACTTTTATTTTGTCCTCATGTATAATGCACAATATTGAATTAAAAGATTTCTATCATTTCAAAGTAGTGGTTACCTCTCAGACACAGATAATAAGTAAAATGGGCCCTTTTGAGCAGAATATGCATTTCAGATTTCACTTACGCTTCACCTTTCCCAAGATAAGTATAATAATGGAGTGGTCTTTATTAAGGGTTTTTGATACTCAATACATAAATATATTTGTATTTTTATCTTTGAACAATGAAATAGCAGAAAAGGATAAAATAATCATAGTATATGCAAACATATGTGTATTTATATTTCCAATTTGCCTTCCCATCAGGATTGTTTCCTGTCGCTTCTCTCTAAGTAGCAAAGGGGACAAAGTGATCAGGGTTAGCACTGAAAAGCCTTTGTCCTCCACACATTTGGTCTTTAAAAATAAGACATTTTTATCTCAAATTTCCATTTTATATTGTGACTTAGTTGCTATACTTTTCTTTTGAATGAAGCAGTTGTTCTTTAGCACCAAAAGCATGAATAAACTATTCATTGCAACAGGCTATTCATTTTTAAGCATTAATCCATTAATACACTCAGAGGTTCTCTATCATATTATGCTTCAAAGATCTATGTGCTGATATAAAGGTGATGAAGTTAAAAATGACAGAGGAAGGACTGCTGCAATTCTATTTAATAGACTGGTTTGAAGAGCCCTTTCTTTGAATCATTTCTTTCCAGTTTGAAAACGGTAACTATTGTATATAAAATATATAACCACATGTGTACAAGTATAATATATACAAATTAATTACACATAATATTAATCTTCATGTATGTGTACATATAAATACAATACAAGTACAGAAACATGCAAATTATATATATACATATATACACACATATATCCATATATGAAAAATTATATATGTTCTAAACTTGTTTCCTGCCATAGAACTCTTTACATACTTGATTGAAATAATGTCTAGGCTTAAATTCCTCCCTTTGTGCCTTGTTATACTTTGTTATAATAGAGATTAAGAAGTCTGAAGGTTTTTTCTTTGAGTCAGAAGTTTAATTAATAGTTTAATTTTGTATTTTCATATTTTCAGTCAAATTCTTTGAAAAATATGCTTCATTAAGAGTAGCATCAGCAGTGATTTTTCAAGCCTACATTGGCTGATTCATGTGCTGCTGTTAGCGGCCACAGGGACCACCCTGGTGGCCCATCTGCACACTTCACGCCGTGGCCTGTTATCCTCCATCCCAGCTTCCTTCACAGGGCCCTCAGTGACGCATGACACGCCGTCCTGCAGATGCTGTTTCCACACAAAGCAAAGACAGAGAACTAGAGATTCTCTTCTGGTTTACATCTACTCTTTCTTCTGTCATTTTCATATAGCTAGAATGAAAGCACACGTGACTGAAAAACAAAGTCGCATTTCATGTTTTATTATGCCAAATATGAATTAAATTGTTTTAACAAAATCCTAATGTGAACATATACATATCTGAAATAAATTATACCTCCTTCTTCTGATTAGTTCATATATTTGAACTGACATTTATATATTATGAATCCAGAAGGCAAGATAGAATTGAATAAGAAAAACTGCAGTTTGAAATTTAGAATCTAAGTGAAGAGAGTTTGGATTCTGTATCCACTTTATATCAAATTTGTATTTGAATTGTTTAGAGCTTAAATTATAGGATTTTTTTCTATTTTTAGCTTAATAATCAACAAATTTTAGCATATTCACACATATATCACAGATGTGCATAGTAGCCCAAATGAATACACATATACATATACATACTTTGGTGAGAGAATTGATAATTATATGACATATGCAGAAACATTTTTACTGTATAAATACACATAAAAGTGTTGATATCTTTAGAAAATTCTCATTAAGATGTTTAATCATTATTTTTTATGATTATAGTCTTCCTTCATATTTTAAAATTATGTGTATGTTTTTATTCTATTTCTTAGAAACTATTTAGATTACTATCCGATAAATGTGTACTTTTGAAATTTTCTTTAATTTCCTCATAAACATAATGCATTTATTTTGTAAGAAGTATCTCTTATGTATCTTCAGTATAACAAGTTGTACACTAGATGCTGGATTTAACAGTGTTTAACAAAATAAAACTAAACTTTTTCCTCAGAGCTTTTAATTCTAGTCATAAAGAAAGAAAATAAAATACACAAAATGATTTTTTCTACCATATTTAAGTGATGATTAGAACAAGGAAGGAAGGAAGAATGAGAAAAAAGAGTACAGATTTTTAGGAATGTTGACTGTAGAAATTACTGAGATAGTTACATTTTAGGAAAGATCAGCATCAAAAATAAGCCTTCCTACAGCTTTCTATAATAAATATACTAACATATCAACTTATATTTGCACTGAGTTCCCTTTTGTCATATGCACACCAACAATTGTCATATATCATTTTTAAATAACAACTGTTCATAACTACGTGTTTTTAATTTGTATTTCTTGAATGGTTGGTGATGCTGAGCACTTTTTCATACCTGTTGTCCATGTATATGTCCTTACAAATATTTGTTTAGGATTTTGCCCATTTTAATAGATTTTTTCTTTTTTATTCTTTTTAAAAATATTAAAAGTGATTTCTTATATAATCCTGTAATTGAGTTGCTGGCTATATATGTAAAAAAGTTAAATAAGTGTGCTGACATGTTGATGAGATAGATACACTTCCATCCTGTTCAGCTGTCCTGTTGCTGGATATAATACCTGGTAACCACAACTTAAAGGAGAAGATTATTTAGCTAAAGGTTTCAGAAGATTCAGTCCATAAGTGGATGCTCCAATGTATGAATATCGTGACAGATGTGAATGCTGGTGCAAGATGGCTCAAAAACAAATCAAAGGAACTGTGCCCTAGAGTTTGGGACCAATACTTACCTATTGTACCCAAAGTCTTGCTTCTATAATCCACCCTTGCAAAGTGAGAAGTATACTGTACTGATCTCAGAACAGTTCTCTAGTCATTTAAATTGACTTTTAACGTTCAGCATCATGAATTCTATTTCCATTGTGGTTTTATTCACAATAGTCTAGTTATGGAAATAATCTAAGTTATATTAATAGATCAATTGATAAATGGATAAAATTAAGGGTAAGGGCAGGGAAGAGTGTGTGTTTGTGTATGTGAGCTTGCACATATATGGATATGAATTTAATGTTATTTAAATATGAAAAATTATATCTTAAATTTAACATAGCATGAATGACTTGGTAGGATATTATGATCAGAGAAATAAGCCACACACAGAAAGAAAATAGTTAAGCGATATTGCATATATATGGTATGTTGGTTATTTTTCATTCATTGTTGAGACAAAATGCCTGATGCCCACAATTAAGAAAGAAAAGGCTTATTTAGCTCACATTTTGTGGAGGTTTCGGTCTATTCTCAGCTGGCTCCAAGGCAGGGTGCTGTGGCAGAGGAGCAGCAGTTCATGGCTTTGCAGATACCAAAAACAATAAGAACAAAACAGATGATCCCAGAGAGAAGACTTTCCCTGTCCCTTATACCTTATATAGGCCACATCCACTTGAGTTTGCACTCACATTCATAATCCTGGTATTGGACCATGAATCTGTCACAAATTCTAGAAGCCCACCCCATGGCTACATAATGCTTTGGGGGAACATCCAGACACAAAATACAACATATGAAATTTTAAAAAATGAAATACTGAAATATATCAAGATACAGAAAAAAAATCGTGATTACTAAGGTTGGAGGTCACAAAAGAAATTTACAAACCTACACTACACAATAAGATGTAGCAGATAAAAACAATGAATAAATCTAGAGATATACTGTACAGCTATTTGAAACCTCTTTTTATAATCTTTTTAGAATGAAATGAGTCTCACTAAATTCGTAAATTGTTCATGCTGGATCAAACCTGTGGCCCTTCTGTATTTGCAATTCATGCTAAAGGAGTAAATTTTAATTTCCCTTCCCAAAAAAATAAAGATTATTAGAGATGACAGTTCTGTTAATTTGGATGTGTATAGTAACCTTTATGCTATTAATTTGTATTTCATAATGCCACATTGTATAATTATATCTGTTAAAAGTTTCTTGTAAAGGAAAATATGGAGTATGTACATAATGGGATAGTATTCAGCATTAAAATTTCTTAATTATACCATTTTGAAAATGTGGATAATTCTGGAAGAAATTGTGGTACATGACAGCAGCCATCTAAAATAAACAAATGCTACCACATGTTTTCCTTACATGTGAGTCTGAAAGAGTCTATCTTATAGAATCATAATGTAGAATAACAATGAGTGGAGACTAAAGGTGGGGAAAAGGGAGATTTAGGTCACAGCATCTTGGCTGGGCAGGAGAGGTAAGATTTCAGAGATGTATCACACAACGTGGTGATTATAGTTAACAACAGTGTGTTGAATATTTCAAAATAGAATAAAAATCAAATGTTTTCAACTCAGCACACCATTAGCATTTAAAATTATGGGTAGGTTACTTAATCATTTCATAGCATAGACAGATAATAACAGTACTATGTACACAAATATGTTGAACTATAATTTATCAACTTATAATAACATTTTTAAAGGAAGTGAAAAGGAAAGTCATCTGTTAGAGATTGCTCTTGGCAGAGGAAACCAGCCAGTCGAATGTCCCTGAAATTTGACCATATCTGACTTTTCCAAAAACTGGCAGTGGAGAAGATAAGATCAAATATAGCCAATGACTCATTGGTTTTTTTTTTTTTTTTTAGATATTTTGAGTATTTCTTTTGGGTACAGTAACTACTTCAGCACTTATATTTAATATGGTAGAGCTAAGCATAAAAGTAAAGTGATCTGATACGGATTCCAATTATATATATATATATATATATATATATATATATATATATTACACACACACATATATGACAACTCTGTTGAAAACTGACTGAAATGAGATAAGCACAGAAATAAGGAACCAGGTTAAGAGTTCAACCACCCATCAATGTACTGATCTGGGGGTGACTTAGATTAGATTATTTGAATCAGATGGTGAGATCTAGACAGTTTCTGTAAATACAATAGAAAGAATTAGAATAATTGATAGACCAGATGTGAGATATGAAGAATACAATCAAATGTGGAGAAATGAATATTAGAATCCAAAAAGAAAATTGGAGTTTTCTAGGATGTTACAAGGATATGGAAAAAGCACTTTGTAAGTAGAAGCAAGAATTTAGTTTCTTTTTTTAAATACATAAAATTCAAAGCACTTCATAGACATCCAAGTACTCCAATCAGCTAGATAAATGAGTCTGCGTTCTTGGGAAACATCTCAGGTAGAGAATACAAAATTTATGAGACTTCATTTTACTGCACTATTTAAAACTATATAACTAATTAAATTGTTAAGTGAATAAATGTCAGTAATGAAGTGATCAAGGAACCGAAATTTGTAATGCCAAGGATTTTAAGAATTAATTATTTAGTACTCAGAATAAGAAAATTCAAGGAACTACAAAATATTACTAAGAATTCAGGAACTAGAAGTAACTAGAAACTGGAAATACAGCAACATAATGACAGGTTAAAAGCCATCCAATCAAGTGGAACATACTGGAAGGCGACTGAAAAGTTGTTTCAGGGAGATAATCACAAGGTTTGTCCAGTGCTGCTAATAGTTGGATTTAGAATTTACCTGTTTGGAGTCATTTATGATCATGGAAACAACAGTTCAAAAGCAGTATTGTGGTATAAAAAACTGATTGGAATAGACTTAGGAAAAAAAGGAATATTGGTACAAAAATACAGACACTGCATTAGTCTGTTTTGGGTTACTGTGCCAGGACACTTCAGACTGGGAAATTTACAAAGGAGAGAAGTTTATTCTCTGACCGTCTGGAGTCTAGGAAGTCCATAATCAGAAAACTGACTTCTAAATCAGAAATTTCTTGATATATCTTCACATGGCAGAAAACTAAATGACACAAAAAAGCAGAGTGTCCCTACCTTTCAAAGATCAGAAGAGAGAAAAAACTCACTTTCACAGTTTTTTTTTTTTTTTTTCATACCAATATGAATCCATTCATGAAGGTGTGACTCTCAACCTAAACACCTTTCATTAAGCCTCATATCCCAACACTGCTGATTGGGGATTAAGTTTCCAATACACAATTATGGAAAAGACACACAATCCTTAGTGTACTTCTTTCAAGATACTTCGCTATGAAGCAGGTGCATCTACTTCCATTTTGTAAAAGGCTGGATAGTAAATTCTTTTAATTTTGTGGGTGATAATGTGTATGGTAAGTCAGTTAAGCCAATTCATCTATGCTGCAGAAGAATAGACACTACATAAGCTAATGAGGTAACTGTATTGCGATAAAACTTACAAACATAGGCAGAGCACAGAATTTGGTGTGGGAGCCATAGTTTGCCTACTTCTGTTTAAGGAAAAAGCATAACGCAGAAATACATTGATACAGAACAAATCTTAGAATTCAAGGAAAATTCCTTAATGACATTTAGGTAATGATGTATTTGTGTGATAGTGAAAATACTAGTAATATTTACTACAGTTTGCTTCAAATATTTTCGTCTAGAATAAAGTTTATTCTCTTATGATTATCATTCCTGTCACTATTATTGTTACTTTAAAATCCACTTATTCTTTGTAATTGGTACTTAAGAATTTATTTAGGAACTTTATCTGTCAAGCAAGGAGAAGTAAATCATGAATTTTTGAGTGGACATGGCACATTATTCTGTATTTCTCATAGCAACATGCTTAAGTATTTAAATAAGCATCACTTATGTTTAGCTCAAATAGTGCTTTTTTGGAGAACATGGATTTGTGCTTAGGATCAGATGTGTCATACAGCAAAAAATAAATCTGAAGAGAAAAAAAGAGCACATTTTAAAGAGTGAGAAGGAAAGACTTTCTAAATCGAACATTTTTCTGTTATTTCGGAAATTATTTCACCAATAAAATCACAAGGCAACATGAATGTGACAACACTATCAAAGACAATAATGTCATTTGAATTTAACTTTTGTAGAACAATTTTTATTAAAACAAATTCTTGTAAAGACATTTGACTTTGTCAAGTCAAACCGTATTTGAATTGCTTGGCTATGTGTATGACTATTCAAGTGTTATGGGCTTTTCTCTTTAGCAATGACTTCATGATTTGAATAACTAATTTTAAAATTTACCTTAATTAATCTCTCAATTGGTTTTCTGCTGTTATAAAGAACCGTTGAGAGTGAATAATTTATCCTGAATATATCTACTTGGCTTACCATCTAGTAGAGACTGGAAAGTGGAAGTACAGGTTCATGCCTCACACAGGTCTTCACGTGTCTTCCCACTGTGGAAACGGGAGGGGTAGGGAACACATGAAACACAGAGGGAAAAGGCTCCCTCCCCTTTTAACAGCTCTCCCCTGCTGTGTAACACTGACATGAATCTGTGCTTGAGGTCAGCACCCTTGTGACCTAATCTCTCAATAGCCCTGCCTCTTAATAATGTTACAGTGTAATTAAGTTTCTACTTGAGTTTAGAATGGGGACTTTCAAACAATTGTAACAATTGTCATGGACATACGATATTGACCTAATTGACATTCGTTTTTATTAGGATCAATTGAAAAGCTTATTGTACAACTAATCAAACCTAGGTAACACGTTAGTCTCTTTCCTAGTGAATTATTGTTGTTGTTATGTTTTTAATTTCACAAGCAGCAAATTCTGGGTAATACTTTGTTTCAGGCTGCAGCTCAATTTCTGAGAAGTGTTAGTACAAAGCTGACAACTGAATGGCACTAAAAAGTCCTTAACAAATTAGCTAATCATACAAATGTCATTTTCAAATAAATAATGTGCTAAGAGTTTCACGGTTTGTGTGTACACATGTATATATGCATCTATATGTTCATTTTGGGAATATAACAATATAGCATTCAGCTTAGTTATTCATAATTATTCATTTCTATAAAGCAATTTTAAAAGATTAAGTAAAGGCTGAAAACAATTTATTTTAAGTCCCTTAACAGATTTTTTGAAAATGTCAAGTGAGAAATGTGTGTAAAGTATATTGAAATTTACATTATTCTAAACTCTACTGCCAATATCCATATTCTTTTACACGGAGGAATTAAATAAAATGAATGCAAATCTTATGACCATAAAATAACCATACAGAATCAGCTATGGAAGATTTATGAAGTTAGCTGGATGGATTTAGCTTATTACATTTAAAAAAGTAAAAGTACATTGAGATGCCAAAAATATAAATATCTGTTTTTTTACACAGAATTATAGGGAGACTTATGATTAAACCTTCACATTAGCCAAGACTGGCAAAGTAATTTGTAGGTCTTACTGCAGAATGAAGTTATGATCACCTTTTTCAAAAATTGAGCATTTGAAGTCTGAAGGTGTATCAGAGTGATACATCAGGCTTAGCATGCGTAAGACCTGGATTAGATTCCTGGCACAATAGTAAATAAATAAATAAACTGAGAATTTCTTGACTGCTACATTGAAACGCTAGATGAATGCCAGGCATTCCGAGCACGTGGCCCTGTTCACTACCTCCATGTTACACCCAAAATTCTGGCCCAGGACCTCCTAGTCAGCCCTAAAGATCATAGGCAAAATCTCCTTCTGCTCATGACATTCTCCTTAACCATGCAGTATCCTTCCAGGCTGCTCTGTCGCAAGTCTTTTCAACTCCAAAATATTTTGTAATGGCATCTTTCTTTGAAGAGTTCAAATTGTGTAGATTTTATGTTGATTTTATTTAATCCTGCATCATCTTGTAAGCGACTTTTATTAAGTATAAGAAGCGAAGACGTTTTCTACCAGTGACTTTCAACTCTTTTACCTGAACATAAGAGAGTGTCCATTCATGTAAGTAGTTTGCACTATATAATTATTTATTTAAATATTAACAAAAATAACAAGAACTGATTCAATCAAGTTATGTTATATCAAATTGCATTAGGTTCATTATATATTTTCCTGACTAATTAATAATAAACTGAATGATCTAGTTCATAATTTACTCCATTTCTTAGTGGATTATATGGCACACAATTTTGTTTTCTTTGTATTATGTCATTTCATGTGTGATTATCTTCTGAACTGTTCACAAGGAAATATAACTGCACTTATAGAAGTCAACCATTTAGAATCAAATAAAACATTAAAGACATTAAGCTTTATAAAATGTTTAAATAGTATTAAGTATAAATAGGGAGTAATACATAAAATTATTCCTGTTGTCATCTAAGTCCTAGAAGGTAAATCAATTTAAAAGTTAAATATCAGATATACAGTGCTGTATTTTTCTCAATACCTAATGACTGTAGAGACTTAGTGTTTGAATTGTGCATTATCTATTGTTTTTCTGTGGTTAAAAAAACTATAAAATGTGTGTAGTGAGAAACATAAAGAAGTTTGATTTTAATATTTCAATTGCAAAGACTACTTCAGGTTATGAGAAAAATTCAGAAGAAATTAATATTAGCCTGTTATACCAAATATAAATCTTGTAACTATCTCAAATTATGATCCCTGAATGCAGTATTATAAACCAAATTTAATGTCTCCAATCCCAAAATGATTATACATATTTTCAGTTTTGGAAGTTTTAGATCTTACCAATATACTATGTGATATTCTAAACATAATATCTTAAATTAAAATTAATGTATTTCTAGTAAAATTCAAGGAAACATTTTTAAAGTTTATGACTATGCTTTTGGATTGGATTATGCTTTTGGATTAAATTCTAGAGCTGGGAATAAAAATGAGTAGTAGAGATATTGCATACGATGTGTTAGACCCTGAGTTCAAATTCTAGCACTGAAATTAAAAAAAAAGCCAGATGAGTGAAAAAAATTCATAAAATAATTTAACTTCCTGACTTTATTTTTCCATTCCAATGTAACTTTATTTCCTATTACATTAATTTATTTACTTTTTTACTTTTTTTTTGTATTGTGCATTAAACTCACGACCTTGCCTTTGCCAGGCAGGTGCTTATGCTGCTGAGCTAAATCTCTGGTAATTTATTTTCCTAACTGTGGCATTTTCCCGTTTGACTTCTGGGCTCATTATTTTGTATTTCTACTAACTTGTAAATTTGGATGCATAGTTCAATTACTACATTTTTCTACTTTGCTAACATAAAAATGTTATAAATGCTTCAGTGAGTACCGCTTTACCTCATGTGAATTTTCTTATGTGCTATTTCTTTTAGTATTTTTAAGGATTGAGAAATATGTTTAAATTATTCTCATTACTTTATGTTGTTGCTTTTGGATTTATTTTATATAAAAATAGGAGGTCTCCAAGGTTTTTGAAAAAAACATTGTGAGTACTTGTTATATTGGCAATTTGATTTGTCATTGTCATGTGTATAACATATATGTGTACACATATTTAGTCACTATAAATGTGTATATATATATATATATATATATATCCCTTAAAGAATCACCTTATATTTCATATACATGTTCTGAATTTTATTTGCTTGATGTTTCAAATTTTTTGAAAATAATTAAATTTAACAATATAGTAGATGAGTAATATTCTCCTGTCATGTAATAAGCCTGGCTTTTGAAATTATTTTGGGATAACATCAAGTTTAGAATTGCTATCCTTGGGTTGAGGGTTTAGCTCAGCATCACAAGCACCTGCTTGAGGTTGTGAGTTCCATCTCCAGTACCAAAACAAAACAAAACAAAACAAAAAAAAAAAATTGTTAGCCTTTACAGAGTAAAGGATCCAGTACAGAGTATTGAATACCGAACCAGCATACATTGACATCTTCATTTCTACCAAATTTTTGTGTGCATGACCAAAAATTTGTGTACGTGACAAAAATATTTATGTACATGACAAAATGTCTGACTGATGACAACTTTTTCTGATGTTTCCTAGGATTTGGAAATTATGTGCTATTTTATTTGCAATTACTCTGTGTGAAACTCTTAAGACATCTTTGGAAAACAAGCTTGCAACATGGCTTTTTATGTGCTCAGAATAGTTTAAATCTAAACTAAACCATTCACACCCCGGCTCCCAAAAGCTTATGTTTATCTTCCTACTTAACATCTATTGCTAAAAGTTAATCTGATTTAACAGGACTGAATTTTTTAAAAAATATAAATCTAAATCCTCTGAGATTCAAGGCAAATTTTAACTCTGAGTCCCTCTAAAAACAAAAAAAAAAAACAAAAAAAAAAAAAAAAAAAGAAGCTAAGTACTTCTAACATACAATTGTATACTGTAAATGTTTTATTTAAAAAATAGAGAAATAGAAACAGCTCTATAGAGCAAAATAGAAACTCACGAGGTTAAACATTACATTTTGTAGCTCTGTGTCTGACACTCGGGGCAGGTTGTGGTGACCTGTGAACTCTTAAAGACTTGGACAGCCTAGACCCCATGGTTAAAGTCTCCCTGACCTCCATTTTAAGCTGGTTCCACTAGGTGACATTTTTTTTTTTTTAAATGTTCTCTGTCTCTGCCATATCAAATTTTTTTGGAGTCTCTACTGTACCTTTAATTTCACTCTCAGAGGTGCACACTGTGTAAGGTTCTTAGGGTTTTCAGTAAGGACAAAGATATTGTCATATATATATATATATATATATATTTTTTTTTTTTTTTCTTATTTCAAACCTCTGTAACCCCATAACTATTGAATTTCTGTATGGCTAAAAAGCTAATATTGCATGGATTTTGCCAAGGTCTCCATTGGTTTCAGCAAGAGCCAGACTCCCTTGTAGATAAATACAGTGGCCTCTGAGTGATTGGATTGCTGAACATCACAAAATGAATCTTAGGGAACCAATTTCCAAAGCACTCTTTCTCAACCACAAGGTCTTGGAGCTGTCTTTTTAAAAGAAAACTTTATAATTTGTACCATTAAATGTATGTTGGAGATGGGGGTCTTCCTGATTCTTCCAATGTCTTTTAGTCATCTTTTTATTATCTTAATGTTAAGTAATTTCTTTATTTGTATTATCATTCTTTTTAACAATCAAGACCTCTTGGCCCCAACTATATATGATGAGAAATGTTATTTCTTTAAATCAGTCTTCCTGCAAGGTATATGTTTTATAAAACAAATTCACCTTCGCTATTGTTAAACCTAACTAAAGCATTCTAAAGTCATACATTACAATACACCCTTGAAGGATAAAAACTTTCTAAAATGTCCTTGACTTTATAATTGGAAGTGACAAAGTTCAACGACATTAAACCTCTACATTTGATTTAGTGATGTTTGTAAGGACATTTGTATTCTTAGTTCTCTAATACAAATCTACTATTACTTAAATTTTAAAATTGA